ACTTTTGAAAGGCAATCCGCAGCTCCTTCTCGGCGCCAACAAAATTTATGCCATTGTCGGACGACATAAACTTGCAATAACCTCTGCGGTTTATGAACCTCTTGAAAGCATTAAGAAACCCTAGTGTTGACAGGTCTCCAACAAATTCTAAATGCATTGCGCCAGTACACATACATACGAATGAGCATATGTAGCCTTTGGTAGCCTTCGCTCCTCTCCCATGGGTGAATTTGTATTTGTAGGGCCCAGCGAAATCGACGGCGGTGCGTGTAAAACAACGGGCATACGTAGTTCGAGCTGCGGGCAAGTCTCCCATAGACTGTGTGGCGAGATTGCGATTCAACAGGGTGCATTTCACGCATTTGTGGTAAATGCTGCGAATTAAGCTGCGGGCGCCAATAACCCAATATCGGCGTTGCAGGACTGTCTGCATAATGCGGGGCCCAGCGTGTAGTGTGAACTCGTGTATTTCACGGATGATCAACTTCGCAAGCGGAGAATTCTTTGGCAAGACGATGGGGTGCTTCACGTCAGGGGTTACTTCAGCATTCTTCAGTCTGCCGCCAACGCGCAAGACGCCTTTTTCGTCCAGATATGGTTGCAAACGCAAACGACTGCTACGAAGCGGAATCGGCCTTTTTGCGCTGCAAAGAGAAATTTCGTTAGGAAAATATAATGTTTGCGTATACCTGATCAAGTGCAGCTCAGATTCGGCTATCTCCTTACAACTAGGAGGGCCAAATAGCTTAGCAGCGTTGAGTCGAGTACTAGCTCGAGCGTTGACGAAAAACCTCAAAACGTAGGCGATAATACGGCGCAGCTTCGAATACGACGAAAACCTCGTGAGTATCGACCAATGCTCGTTGGAAGTCGTGATGTGAGCAGAAACCTTGCTCCGAACACCCAAATCGGTCGTGTGATGCTTTGGTGATGTTTGCTTCCAGAACTGGTCTGGACCCTTCAGGAATTCAGGACCAGTCCACCAAAGCTGTTGACGCAGTAGCTCAGACGGGGTTATACCTCGCGAGGCACAATCTGCTGGATTCAACTCTGAGCGAACATGGTTCCAGCACTCTGGAGGCAGGGTTTCTTGAACGTCAGCCACGCGGTTTGCGACGAAGGTAATCCATCTGCTAGGATGAGCTTGTAGCCACGCCAACGTGATGGTGGAGTCTGTCCATGCATACAGCGGATAGCGGAGATCACCCCAACTGTGCAGAACGCTTCGTGCTAGTTTAGCGGCTAAATGCGCAGCGCATAGCTCTAGTCGCGGCAATGTTGTTGTTTTGAGCGGTGCTACCTTGGTTTTTGATGAAATCAGCGCGACGGTGGCACTGCCGTCAATTTTCACGGTGCGTGCGTACATAACTGCGGCGTACGCGCGTTCAGACGCGTCAGCGAATATATAAAGCTCTGTGAGCGACCCAGTCGTTCCTAGACCAAGCCAGCGACAAATCTTTAAATTTAAAAGTACCTTCAGCTCCGATCGATGCTCCAACCAATTTGTTGCAATGGAGTCAGGAATAAGGTCATCCCACCAACGTTATGGCGCCAGATCTCCTGAAACCACATCTTTGATCTTATCGTCGCTGGAGCAAGCAGTCCCAGCGGGTCGAAAAGCGTGCTGGCATCCGATAAAAAAGTTCTCTTCGTTAAGGCAGCGGGCGGTTTTGTCATGTTAACTGTGAACGTCAAGAAATCGTCCTCGGTGTTCCACATTAAGCCCAAAGCGTGAACATCTTTACCCTCGACTAGATAGTGCGATATAGTCTTCGACGCGTTCGAAATATATTCGCTAAACTCCGCACAGTTCGACGCCCACTTTCGGAGCTCAAAGCCACCTTGCTGGAGTATTCCGGATATGTTTCGTTGCAAAAGTAGCAGCTCTGCTTTGGAAGCTGTACCAGTGAGGAGGTCGTCCATGTAAAAATCATTGAGGATGACGGAAGCAGCTTTCTCAGAAACGTTCGACGAACATTTTGCGGTTTGTTGTAGCGATTTGACTGCAAGGTGGGACGCAGCTGCCACACCGTAAGTCACACGCAACATTCGATAATCCTGCATGGGCAAAGATGGATCACGACGCCAGACAATTCGTTGTAAGTCTACATGTTTCGGCGATACGCAGACTTGGCGGTACATTTTTGCGATATCCGCGGTTACTGCGTAGCGATGCGTTCTGAAACGCGTTAGAATCGAAAACAAGTCTTGCTGCAATTGAGGACCTACAAATAAGGCGTCATTCAACGAGTTTCCGGTGGCAGATTTAGCGGATGCATTGAACACAACCCTTAGCTTAGTCGTGAGACTGGACTCCTTTACAACAGGATGGTGCGGCATGTAAAACGTCTGGTTTGATGATTCTGGTGCAAGCTCCATATGTTTCATCTCGATGAGCTCCTGCATGAACTCATTGTAGCGCTGGCGTAAGTCTTCGTCCCGTGCAAGTCTTCTCTCAATTCGCAGTAGGTTTCGAACAGCATTATTTCGCGAATCTCCCAATAGAACATCAGATTTTAGTGGCAGCTCAACTATAAATCGACCGTCCGGTGCTCTGCGGTGCGTTGCTTCGAAAAACTCTTCACAATGACGCTCTTTGCAAGTGAGATGGGTCTTTTGTGGTGCTTCTTCCAGCTCCCACAATCGGGTAAGCGCTCTGTCCAGATGAACGTTGCAATGCATCGACTGCAGATGAGACGGAGCAGATTCGATTCCATCAACACTGCCAAACAGCGTCCAACCGAAGACTGTACGTTGAGTCATCGGCGTGCCAGGTGGACCTTTACGGAACTCAGAGCAAAGAAGCTGATCCATGACATCCATACCTATCAAGATGTCGATACGCCCAGGCCTCGTGAATTGCGGATCGGCAAGGAACAAGCCTTGTACATGCGGCCAAACTGAAACTGCTAATTTATGTGTTGGCAATTCGCTCGTGATTTTTGGTAAAATCAACGCGTTGACATTAAAACATTGACCTGAACGAAAGGATGACAGGGAAAGTAGTACCTCACCTCTTGAACGACCTCCTTGCGACGACCCAATTCCAGTGATGAAAACTGCAGACGCCTTTCGTTGTAGACCCAAACGTTGCACTAGCGCCTCGGTTACGAAGGAGGCATGCGAGCCAGAATCGAACAACAAGCGAGCGGGTTGCCAGTGACCGGAACAATCGCGCACTTTGACGAAGGCGGTTGCCAATAGTACCGTCCTTTCTTTTCGTTGCGGTGAGTTTGAATTGGAATTCAAACACGATGAAATGCCTGCGGGAGCAGTGTGTGCGGAAGGATCACAAACAGGAGAAGTAGTTGCGTTTGGTTGCGGTACGGTGGTTGCTGTTAGGGAGGACGGCATAGCAGCAGCTACGTTGTTGACCAAATGAGCGCTTGTTGCGACATTGGCTGAAGAAGCGGTATTATGTAGCAAAGTGTGATGGCGTTGATGGCAAACTCTGCATGCGGACGCGCTAATGCATTTCGCTTTATAATGGCCTGAGCTGAGGCAGTTCGTACACACGCGCGAGTCTTTAATGAATTTTGATTTATCGTTTGCGTTTAAATCGCGAAACTTCTCACAACTGTATATTTTATGCGGCCCATTACAATATGTACAGCTCGAGCTATTTTGGGTTTGCACTGCGTGAAACACTTTCGCCGATTTGCTCACTGAAGACGTTTTGCCTTTCGGAGGTACTGCTGTAGCTGACGAAGAAAGCATAGCCAGAGATCGACACCTGACTTCTAAAAATGTGGACAATTGTTCGAACGTCGGAGGCTCATCACTCACGAGTGATAGCTCCCACTGCTTTCGCGTCTCGAATGCTAGTTTGCTGACTACTTCATGCACAAGCCAATCGTCCCAAAACTGCACTGGACGACCTAAAGCCTTAAGTTCACGTATGTGCTGCTGAAACGCGTCGAGCACTCTTTTAATTGCGTCAGCAGTATCACTAGCCGCACTCTTAACATCGGCCATCGCTCTGAGATGGCCCTCAACAATCACACGCATAACTTTATAACGCGACTTTAATAAGTCCCACGCTTCTTCGTAATTGGCATCGCATATTTTAAAGCCACTTATTATTTTCAACGCGTCACCCTTTAAACAGCTTCGCAGATAGTGAAGCTTCTGTACATTTGACAATGCGGCGTTACTGTCAACCAGCGAGGAAAAAGCGTCAAAGAAACCGATCCATTTTAGGGAGCCGTATGCCTGCCGACACAGTTGTTGGCGCGGACGGATGCTGTGATTCTGCCCGACACTTCTGTACGCGATTGAAATTAGCTAAAGCCGTAGAAAACCACGCCTCGGCTTGAATACGCACATTTTCTTCAACTTCACTATTGTCACTTCCACACGAAACCTCGACCGCATCTTGAGCACTGTTGAATCGAGCCCACTGTTCGCTAAGCAGTTGCATATAACTTTTCACACTTTCTGCATCCATTGTGAATGCCTCGTCAGTGCTCTTAACCATATAGCGTTTGATTGCATTGAGAGCTGAATCGCGAGTTTTAACGGAGTTCGACATTTTCCACTTTGCCTTTCCCGAGTCGTTCGTAGGACACAGTTCCGATATACGG